TTTTCTTTAAATAAAACAAAAGAAAAAAGAAAACAACTAATTGTAATAATAGTCCCAATTTTTTTGAAATGCGTAAATGAGTCCTAAATAAATTATTAAAAGGGTAATTAGTATATAATGTCTCTATCTTTTACCTTTATTGCGAAAAACGTCCTACTGTTTTTTAAAAAAAATTGGGAATGTGGTTGCAATTAATTCCTTATCTTTTTATTTAAATAGGATGGTATATTCATCATCCCACTATTTTTTATTGAGAAATTGGATGAAAATTGATAAAAATGATGGTTTGTGCTATCAAATTATAATTAAGGGAGAAAATGCCAAAAAAATAAAAGGTAGGGACATTTTTCGTAATAATAGTGAAAGGTAGGGACATTATGTGCTAATTATTCTTTTAATAATTTATTTGGGACTCATTTACACTTTTCAAACAAATTGGGACTATATTTGCAATTAGTTTTTTTTTTCCTTTTTCTTTTGTTTTATTTAAAAGAAAGGGTATTTTCGTCATTTCACAATTTTTAATTGAAAAAATGGATGAAAATGACATTTTGCGCAATGAAATGTGAAAATAAGGATGAAAATACCAAAAAATGAAAAATAGTGATGTTTTCCATAATAGCAATGAAAGATGAGGACGTTATATGCTAATTACCTGGTAAAAATAAATTAGGTTGGCAATAAATTTTCACATCTAACTAATTATCTCTTTCTTGTATTCAATACTTCAAAAGAAAAGTAATTAAGGCATGTGATAAGTGCATTTTATCTTGCTTTCAAAATTTGATACGTGGGACTCACTTAGATGAAATTACTTCTTAATATTGGTTAAATATTGATTATTATAGCATAAATTCAATGTTGAATGGATAATGATGAAAGTGGGTGAAAATCGACCAAAATGGACTAAAGAAGAACGATTGTAAAAAATTAGGGACTTAATTCCAAATCTTCAAAACTTGATTTGGACCAAGGATGGACAATTGATGATAATGTATCAAATTGGAGACAATTGAAAGATGAATGATCTCTATTTGAAACAAGGAAGGACTCAAACCGAATAGAAGAAGTAATTCTTGGACTAAAATGGCAGAAAAATGAAAAGAAAGACACTGCGACGGAAGGACCTTTTATGTGATCGCAAGGTGGTTAGATTGGTTTGTCGCGGCTACATAGGCAAAGTCATATGATCACAACAGAGAATACCATGCGATGGCATGGTGCGTTCACAAAAGAAAAATTATGTTTTTTTTTTTTTAACTCAACCTCTAAATGGTAATAATATTCACGCTCATTTCTAACCTACTTTGGAGGCTAAAAATTGGGTAACCAAGCATTAAAGAGAAAACAAGAGGCAAACTACAAGAATAAACGTTCATTGATGATTACTACTTGAATTTTGTGTAAGAAGAAGAAGAAGAGGATGCAATGAGATTGTTCAAGAAGGATTCAAAAAATACTCTTTTTTAAAACAAGTAAAGCATTTATATAAATCAAACTACCATGTTGGAACATCATCATGCAACATGACAGAGAGCATGGTGTGAAGAAATATTTGAAGTTTGATCTTAATATTAGGATAGATTATGATGCATATTTCATAATATACAAAACAAAGTATTTTATTTAACATCATGCTGCATTGTAAAACTAAACTTGTCTTTAATATACAATTAATTCATAAAAGCTTGATATTGCAACACAAAGCTAAACATAAACTTTTTACATAAAAATTCTAAATAAAAGTATTTTCAAATAGAAAAATGAATCTTGTCTTTAAATTATAATATATTCATTAAGAAAACTTGTTGTAACATCATATTGGAACACAGAAAACGACAAAACTTGATTGCATAAATTTAATGCAGTACATTGCAACAGCATATTGTAACTTCGAAGGAAAAAAAACTTATTTTGAAATAAATTTCTAGATGGAAATGTTAAAATTCATAATAATATTTTCAATTTAAATTGCTAAATTTTGAGCATCATTAATTTGTTGGTATTATGTAATATAATCATCACATCCAAATGTCACGATCAAATTAATACCTTCTCATTGATCATGTCCTCGTAAGATTTAGTTATTTGTCTCACAATAAAAATACCCAATAAAACACAAGCTTGATTTCATATGTTAATATTAAGTAGAATAACATAAACAAACTTTAATTCGTTTGGAGGAAGTAATGGTTATTTCAATCTCAAATCTTAGATCACCACAAGAATCCATGTTGAGAACATAATTATTTCAATTTTAAAACTTAGGTCAATATTTAAACTTGTAGCATCAATAAAACTTTTGGTTCATTTCAATCTGA